TTAATGGGAGATGTAGGTGAAGGTACAGTATGGTGAGAACCAGGAATACCAGCAGAACAAGTATTCGTACCTGCAGCACTGCCAGGGATAGCACCAGGCGCACCAGGAGAACCACAAGGACCGCGTGGAACCGCAGGGTCCGTATAAGGCCTTTGTTGAACACCCTTAGGAACACCAACAGGAGGATTAACAGGAGGTCTGCCAGGAACAGCAGGTCCAGGAATCCCAGCAGGTTGGAACCCTACATTATTAGGATGAACACCACCACCAGGCATACCAGCAATACCACCACCAGTCATAAAAGAATACGGGTTTGGTACATTAGCCAACATGCATCCACAGAAGCAGTACAGGATGAAAGGCAGTAATAATAACAAGTGGCCCATCATCTTCTTCATAGCCATAATAGTGGTTGTTGGGTTTCACTTACAAACACTCAACTACAAAGAAAAAAAAATATAGGAGATTAACAAAATGCTCATAATACCAAAAACCAGACGTACATACAAGTAGAGAAGCACAAACGATGCTCAACAGTGTAGAAAAAAAATCAGAAACAAAGTAATACAGAGAATGAAATCAGTAAAGGTAGATACAAAAAGGACATCCATATCATCAAAGACTCCCGCAGTAAACCATAGAATGTCCCCGCAAACCATAAGCAAAGAAACAAACAGATATTAAACGTTACCCAATTTACACAGTAAACACAGAAATATTCACCAACTATGGGTGTAAGTCTATATATGTGTATATACGCAATTATAAATATAAATTCATCTGTTATTATTATTTCCTTTTCCTTTCACTCCAAAAAGCAGTTCATCATCATCATCATTATCATAGTGCAAGCCCAGGTACACACAGAGAGAGAGTCTCCAAGAACACACACACAAAATGGAGTAGCAATAATAATTATTATAGGATAAACACAGAGAGCAAAAACAAACACAAAACACATTAACATTAAGAAACAAAAAAAGATAATCCCAACAGGTGGAAGATTAGTTAGACTGTAGGGATTATATGCAAGAAAAGAAAAAGAAAACAAAGGATGACCTGAGTCACACCACCAAAATCAACACACAAGAATACAGGCCAGTGTAACCACAATCAGTAGTGGTACACGCACCCACACAGAACTGCTGATACTGCTGCTGCTGTCTGCATCACCCTTCTTGTTGTTTGTCAGTTCAGGAGGAAGTGTTGATGTTGTGGTGGTGGTCGTGGTTGAGGTGGTGGTGGTGGTGGTATCTGTATTTTCTCCCTCATTTTGGTTGTTTGATGACCCACTCCCTTCAGGTGCAGTGCCGCTGTCAGCGTTGGTATTACCAGATTCATTATTCCCCTCAGTTTCCTGTGGTGAAGGTGTAGCATTGGCTTCAGTAGATGTTGGTGAAGAAGATTGTGTTGGTGCAGTATCATTCGTAGTTGTACTCCCACTTGATACACTGCGGTTGTCTGCATTATTCTTATTTTCGTTGGCATCTTGTGTTCCTGCAGACGATGTTTCCTGCACCTGAGTACGAGAAATCTGATGACCTTCAGGGATTCCATTGCGACTACCGGTAGATTGCAGGTTGTGCTGCTCCTCTGAATTCTCTTGTGATTTCTCTTCTGCTTTTCCATTGTGTAGAGAAGGTTGTACTTCTTTTGTTGGTGATAAAGCATTCCCTCCACCCTGATGTGTTTGCTCTTGAGTCTGCCCTCTATCGTGATTGGGACCCTGCACTGTTAGACTGTCAGCAGAATTGGGTCTTGTAGTTGAAGCAGCAGCACGTTGTTGGTGTTCAGTTTCTCTTTGACCAGCAAGATGTGAAGTTTCTTGAACACTCAAACCCCCAGCAACACCCATAGCTTGAGGAACAGGAATACCATCCTCACCACCCTCTTTTCTCCCATTCTGAAGCGAAGCATTAAGAGTACTAGGCTCAGAAGTAAGAAGAGGACCAGAAGTATGACCACTACTTCCACCAGAACAACCAGGCTCAGAAGCACCAGCAGCAGGACAATTAATCTTTGTCTCACTCTCCGTATCAGGGACTTGGTCGGAAAGATCGGCGGCAGGCACTTCTTCAGCGAGGACGTGCACACACGCACATGAGAGCAGGAGAGCGAGGATACACAGCACGTAGCGCATCAT